CTCTCGGATCTCTCCTGGCAGGCACCTTCTTGGTGGGATCTCCCGGCAACTACTCCACCTCCCCATTTTCTGGAGTCTTCGCTTCCCCACTGCAACAGCAGCAGCTGCCCCCGCCTACGCCGCCACCCCCACAGCCCCTCTTCCCTCCGCAAGCAGTTCTGGGTCAACAGAATGGCGGTAAGAGGGTTTGGCGTTTGGGTCCCCCCCCCATCAGAGCCTCGTGCACGTTGCTGCTCCCCACAAGTTCGGATGCCCCTGGTCATCGGAGAGCCCAGTGAGGTTCTGTTCCCTGGAGGGGAACCGCCAGGAGAGCCGGTGCGGATAAAAGGAGGGCTTTGCCACTGCCTGCCGTTCGGCGGTAGAATTCCCTGCCAGCAGATGGCGCTGTGGCCACTCGCATGGAGGAATTTAAAAGGGGATTTGGAGAGATTTGTGGGGCGGTTATCAGTGGCTACCGGTTGCCTGCCAGGACGGCTGTATTTTGCTTTCTGTTTGAGAGGGGCTGCTTTGATATCGAAGGTGCTGGGGAATATTGGGCAGAGGGTGCCACCTTTCTTGCCTCCTGCCTCTGTCCCCCCCCCTTTGGCTTGCTTCCCCACCACCCAAGGAATCGAACAACGTGACCTCAGAGGAGCCCCTGGTGGCTCTTCTGTTCCTCTTTCACTTCTCAGCAGGCCTGCCGTAGAGGGGGGCGGGGAGGGGGGCGTGGGCCACGCTAAAGCGTCTCTTCTACCACAATCTGCTGTGAGAGCCGAGGCTTCCTGGCCCGGTTCCAGCCACGAAATGGGATTCTGGGTAGCAAAAAAATCCCCCCCCCCGCCGGGCCTTGCAAACGCCATCCCCATCCTCAGTTTCCAGCATCCGGAGTGCAAGGCATGCTCATCAGGGAAGAAATCTCTCTCTTGGTCCTAGGCACGCGGGTGCCTGATCTGAACATGACGACGCTAGCCTCCAACTTTGTTTCTTGTCCCCTCTGGACGCGAGGGGCGAGAAAGTGCTTGGGAAATGAAAAAAAAAAAAAACCAAAATGACGGAGGGCTGCCTTTTCTCTCCCTTGTGTGATTTAGGCTCCTCCTTCAGTGTGTTCTCCGTAGCCAAAGCTGGACAAAGGCCCCTCGGACAGCCCGCGGGGATTTCTACCAACCCTTTTGTGGTAAGGAGCTCACCCCCCTCCCCACCCCAAGGCCTGAGCTGCCCCCTTCCCTGTTTTCCTGGCATCGCACGTGTATCTGGGAAGACAGGGAAAGGGCTGGCACAGCCGTAGGTCAGGATGAAAAGAAAATGGAGCAGTTGTTGAGAAAATGCTGTTTTCCTTCGTTGCTTGACGGACGGATCCCGAAAAAGCAAAGGTTAACCCACTTGGCCAAAAAGGGGGGGGGTGGAAAATCCCATACCAGTCCTTGAGCAAGATCTTTCTTAGACCAACCCAAACAGAACGCAACTGTCTGCATGCTTTGGAGAGATTCGGGTCTCTCCGCTAGGCAGCAGAGGAGAAAGAGAGAGGCCAAGGGGATGCGGGGAGAAGCCCATTAGCCTTGGAAGGCCTGGGGCCCGGCAGGATCCTAAAGGGTCCTGGGTTGGGGCTCTGCGGACTCTGAGGCAAGGCCTTCGCAGGGGATGCTGCGGGGTCAGGTTCGCCTCGAGGGACACCCCCCCCCCAGGAACGCCAGGAGCAGGAAAGGCTGCTTGCCACCCAGAGCCCTGGCCTGCGATGAGGTGGGCTAGGCAGAAACTGAAATCGATTTTTTTTAAAAAGGGTCGTGGATTCTGGAGAAACTCGTCCAGGGTTTTCACGCTTTCGCTCTAAGTCTCTGAGGAACCTGTCTGTTGGGTTGCCTGTGGCGTGGTGGTGGTGGTGGGTGTTGCCCTTTCTCCAGCTGCCTTTCTCTGTTCTTCACAGACCCCGATGGCCACCACGCCTGCCGTCCCCTTCACCCTGGCGAAACATCCCCCCACCAACCCCTTCTTGTAGCGCTGGCATCAACCGACGCTGGAGCCCTCCCACCCACCCTGCCTTGCCGCTGTGTGTGTGCCGGAGAGTCACCTGCCCGCCTCTGCCTTTGCCAGAACGGGGTAGGGGTGGGGGCGCAAAGAGCTTCAACTCCTGGCCGTGGAAGACGGGGCCTGGCCCGCAAGCAGTGCATGATGGGGCTTGTCAGGTGGCTGGGGGGCTTTTGGGGAGAGTCCGTGCATGGGGTGGGGACACTCAGGCCAGGCGAGGAAGCCTCCGGCTCTTAAGAAGCCGTGTGAGAGGCTCCAGCCGTTTCCCCTAGCAGTAGGATGCTGGGCCTTGGAAGTCAGGATGAGGCCACTGCCAAAGAGCAGAGGAGCGTGCTGGGAAGGGGAGCGTGGCCTGCCCAGCGGGAGCATCAGAGTCAACGCTTTGCTTCCTCCTGCCGGCCAGCAGCCCTTGCGGTCAGTGCCTCTGGGTGGTGCCCAGGCTTCTCACTGCGGCTGGTCGGCCTCTCCTCTCCTCTCCCCTCCTTGCTCCCCCCCACTCCACCTGGCTGCACCCATCGCTTCCTCTCCCCCTCCCCTTCCCGGGTTCCCTTCTCTCCACTCAAGCCCTGCTGTGTTGGCACCTGACGGCCACAGAGTGCTTTCCGGATCCCACCATGAGCAGAAGGGGGTTCTCAGCTTTGAAGTCTCTCTCCCCCCCACCCCAATTTCTCTCTCATTTTGATTGCACTAAAGAGGAGAGGGGCAGGCTTCTTGCTTCACATGCTGAGGGCCAGCAAGGGGCTTTGTGTGCACCTGACCCCCCTCCCCTCTCACGCTATCCACCCCCCCTTTCAGCTTTGTTTGCAGGGGAGGCAAAAAGCAATAAGCAACCTGCAGGCAGCAGAGCGAGCACCCCAGGGATTCGGCAACAGACCGGGCTGGTCATCTGCTGCCCACTCGCCTCTTTTGAGAACAAGAGCTGTTCCGAAGGGGCCCCTCCTGCCGTTCCCTACCTAGAAACCATGGCGGGCCAGCAGAGCAGGGAACTTATTCC